ATAACCTGTCATCACAACTGAACTCCAGACAACAGATCTCTTCCCCCTCGGAGAAAATAACTGCTTTAGAGGGTGGGTTCTGTGGCATTCTATTCAGCTGAGGCCTCTCCCCTCCCCAAACCCTGGCTTCCTTAGACACAGAATATCCAGGAATTTCCCAACCTGCAGCTGGCAACTCTATCAGGATGGGCCCCAATTAGTTCCTCACAAAAACCTGGAAAGGGTTTCCTTTCTTTGTATTTTTACTGACAGAACCAAGCTTGGTTGTCTAGCCACAGCCACTGTGGGAAAAGTTAATCCCACAGAGGAGCCAAGCAGGAGAAGTGTCTTCGTCGGGAGACACAGCCGTTTGCCAGTAATTCTGACAGGGAACAGTGACTGAAGGGGGAGTGGGCGGGGAAGAGGAGCAGAAGCTGTGTTCACCAGAGCGAAGCAACCATCTTCTGAGGATAGTTTTGGCAGGCGCTGCTTCTGTGGGCAGGACTCAGGCAATGAAGCCAGTGGATAGGGACAGTTTTTGAGCAGTGTTCCCTCTAAGCTGAGTTAGGGTGAGCTAGCTCACAGTTTTTTAGCCTCCGGCACACACATTTTTGTTTTAGCTCAGGAAGGATGGCTCCAGAGCAAACTAATTGATGCAGTAGCCAAATTGCTCGCTCACAGCTTTAATGCTAGTAGCTCACAAAGTATAATTTTTGCTTACAAGACTCCACAGCTGTCTTGTATTGCTTTGCTTCTGAGTGACACATCATGGAGCCAACTGATTTAGGACCGTGTGGAATATTCAGAAAGTTCCACCCCCACTACTCAGTTATATATAAGGAGAGATGCTATGAGGAAAGTTTCATGCAGGCTAGAAATTAGAAGATAAATGCATTGACCAAGGATGCCAAGGTCAGTGAAGGCAACACAACAAGCTCTTCATTACTGTTTTAGTCCAAATGGGAGGGGTCAGTTTTATTGCGGTTAACTGGTGTGGTTAGCCCAGTCACCATTAATTAGCAGAGTGCTTAAATAAAGCTGCAAACGCAGGAGCATCACTTTACCAGGTTACTCAGTTTACAAAGCTACACAGAGCCCCATTGCAAGCTTAGAAGAGAAATACTTGCCCTGTTATCAAACAATTTTGGAAAGAAATAATTATAAAAATCAAAGCAATTACTACAGTAGACTTACCTTGCTCCCCTGAGTTTGTTCTGTTGGAGAAATGGCCAAAATCTAGAAAAGAAAGAAAAAATGAAGAATTAATAGCAAACTTGATAGCAATTGCACGTATTCTTATTGCATGTAGATGGATAGACAAGAAACCTCCACCACTTACACAATAGTAAAGTCAAATATGGGAACATTTTATATTGCAAAAGATTTCATTTAATTTAACAAATTCATTGCCTGAAAATTACAACAAGAAAGTAGTTGCAATTTGGTATCCTGTTATGCTTTTTTATGCTTGGAAAAGAGATTATCCCAGATAATCCGCAATATCGGAAGACGATTTATTTTTTATTGGTTATTTTGTTTAAAGTTGATTGTTAAAAAGTTACGGTTTAAGACATGTATGTATGTATGTATGTAAGTAAGAAGCTATGGTAATCACTAGTTATATTGTAAATTTTAAGTAGTAATATTTGAAGACTGTTAATTTTTTTTCTTTTAAAAATACTTCTCTCTTTATTTGAGAAGTACACTTTGGATAGGAAAGGGCAGAGACTGATAGATTTCTAACTTATTAGCTAAAGGATGGGGGCAGATGGCGAGAGGCCCATCTGCCTCATGGTGCCAAGAGAGGACAGCATGTCCATCTCTTGGTGTGTGCAGGTAGAGAGCAAGTCTTCATTCCGAGTGAGAGAGACGCAGGAAAGGGAAATTGGTCCCTGAGTTCACAATCAAAAAGGACAGTGGCAGAAGAGTAGATACAGGAAGAAAGGTCAGTGTGCCTATCTAGCTATCTAGCCTCTCTTGCTACTCAGTCTGGAGGTCTGAGACAGGGGACATCGCATCTGGAACTTCCAACAGGTTTTGCTGTTTCTGCCTACTTTCCTAACTTTGTAATGGTTTGTAGACAGCCAATCAGGATGAAACCTCTTTAATAGTTTTTACTACAGATCCAGGATGAACTCTAGTAAGTGCCTTGTTGCTCAACTCATTACAAAATTGTCTGGTTACTTATCTAGTTTGATGCTAGAAAGAAAGCATGGTCTCAAAGGGACTGAATTATAATAGAAGAGATCAAACTATAAGGTTCTGTGAGTGTAAAACACACACAAAAACACCACAATAATTGTTTCAAAACAAGAGAGACCACATGTATCAAATTCTGAAAAGTTGATATAAGAAGAAAATTTCATCAGGACTATATTCACAAATGTATTGCTGTATTCCAATCCAACTTTATGAATTTATGGGGGAAAATGCTCAGTTGTACAATTGTGGAGGTAGAGTGGAGGCAGGTTTTTACTTGAGCTCCACAGGCTTATATTCACCATTTGAAAAGAATTTTTAAATAAAATATTATTTCAGGGGCATTTAACATAAGGGAAATTAAATAAAATAGCCCATAGTAATAAATTTATATCCTAGAGATGCAGTTCAAAAGATGCTGATTACAAACACAAAATGTGGATGTGCTCTCCAACTGAAACATTTTGAAATAAAGTGGTGTCAAAAATTAGAAAGATGAGATGCATTCCTGTCTACCCTTGTTAAGTCGCTTGCTTAACAAAGTAGTCGGAGAGTGATTCAGCCAAGATTCAGCTTTAATCAACAACTCGAACACAACTCCAACACGGATCAACATCTGATAGCCAGAACAGCTTTTACATTGCAGCTGT